CTGATAACTAAGCAAACATAGTCAGGTTATAAACTTTTCGAAAACAAAATAACCAGAAAAAAAGTGAGCCAAATAAAGGAAAAGGAACAAAAAGCTAGGGGATTCTATAAATAACCTTTCTCCCCTTCCCCAGCTTCAGTGGGAGAAAGGGAAAGAGGAGAGGAAACGAAATAGCCACAAGCTGCAAGGAGAAAAAGAGAATGGTATATTATTATTTTCCATTACTAAGTGAAATAAATGGGCTAACCATAGAAATAGGACTAAAAATTAATGTTCCCACATTTACTTTATTTATTTATTTATTTATTTATTTATTTATAATCACTCTCATTTTTATCAGAGCCAAATCAAGACCAAACTATTTTACTGCATTAAGTCCAACTTTAATTTGGCCTAATTAAAAATTTTTTTTCTCATTTATTTATTGACTAGAGGTCCGATGCACAAAATTCATACAAGAGTAGGCCTTCCTTCTCCCAGCTGCCGGCACTGGCTTCCCTCCAGCACCCAGGACCCAGGCTTCATCTGGAAGGTCGTCCAGAAGGACGTCTGGTCTAATTAGCATATTACATTTTTATTACTATAGATTTCAGAGAGAAACATCGGTTTGTTGTTCCACTTATTTATGCTTCATTGGTTGATTTTTGTATGTGCCCTGACCAGGACCTGCGACCTTGGTGTATCGGTCTGATGCTCTAACCAACTGAGCCTGATATAACATAATCAATAACCTAAGAACATTTAAAAAATGAATCGTTTTTAAAAGGTGAGAAGCAAAAGTACAAAACAATGGGATAGAGCTCATGAGAGAAAGAGCATGAATGAATCCTTTTTCAGAGACTATAGTCTGTTTTCTACTATTTAATAACCACAAAGGACCAAAAACCACAAACAAGGACAAAAGATGTTTTTTCAACATACCCTCAAGGCAGGAACAAGATGAGAAAGACTGTCCCGGAGGTAGGCATAGTGCCTGAAGGTATGATCCGAGAACAATGCTGGCATTGTTGGGCAGCTTTTAGCAGCATTGAAGATAAGAACCAAAACTGCAATGTCTGATGGATGAGTGAGTTAAGTAAACCTGGAGGTACAAAAGGGTGAGTTTGGCCAGAATCTAGTGTCCCCACTTCCCGCCCCGAAATTCCCACTAAGTGACTACAATTTTCTAATACAGAAATGCAAATTCAAACAGAGACAGATTATCCTACTCCATATTATCCCAATTACCAAAAGTTTTAAAAAATAATGCCTGTGGTGAGGGCCTGGGGAGCAGAAGGAGCAGGAGAGAGCTGGAAGAGGTTAGTGGGGTAAAAAGAAGGACTTATGTAATACTTGCAACAATAAAGATTTAAAAAAATAAACAAGCAAACAATAAAAAATAAGAAATTGGCAAAAGAAGAGAAAAACTTCAAGATAGCAACCAAACGATCAGTCAACTGGTTATGATTCGCACTGACCACTAGGGGGCAGACGCTCAATACAGGAGCTGCCCCCTGGTGGTCAGTGCGCTCCCACAACCAACTTTCCATGGCTGGCCAACCTCCCGCAGTCCCTCCCCTGGCCAGCCAACCTCCCGCGGTCCCTCCCCCTGGCCAGCCAGCCCTGATCGCAACCAAGCTGAGGGACCCCACCATGCACGAATTCGTGCACCAGGCCAATAATAATAATAATAATAATAATAATAATAACAACAATAATAATAATGCCTGATGCTGTTGAGAATACTAATAAATGGAAACTTTTGGTACATTGGCTACTAAAGTATATAATGGCACAATCCCTTTGGATAATAATTTGGTACTAGATAGTGTCTTATGAATGTTGAATAATTCCACATCTTAAATCTATTCTAAATAAATAATAAGATAGCACAGAAGCATTTATAATAGCAAATAATCAGAAATAACTTAAATATCCCAAACCAGGAGAATAACTATACAACTTATACTTCATTTACTTGATGGAGTAGCCGGCACATCCCCAGTAGGAGGTGTGCAGGAGGCGGCTGATCGATGTTTCTCTCTCATGGATGTTTCTGGCTCTCTATCCCTCTCCCTTCCTCTCTGTAAAAAAAAAAAAAAAAAAAAAAAATGTGTGTTGTTTTTTTAATATTTTTTAAATATATTTTTACTAGAGGCCTGGTGCACAGATTCATGCACTAGTCCCTCAGCCTAGCCTGCAGGGATCAGGCCGAAACCAGTTCTCCGACATCACCCCAGGGGTCCCGGATTGCAAGAGGGCTCAAATCAAATCCCTAAACTTCACCAATGGTCTTGCATAGAGTGAAAAGAACCATGAATGCACTAACGTAAATGTATTCCCATGACTGGAAAATAATCCAATTGCATGGCATGCTGTCCATGGCAATCACAAACCTATTGAACTTGTATCAGAGGCATAGTAGCTCAGCTGCATCCACTCATTCAGGCTGCATATCAAATTAAACACGCAATAAGACATAGGGCAGTGATGGCGAACCTATGACACGCGTGTTGACACGCAAACTCATTTTTTTGGTTGATTTTTCTTTGTTAAATGGCATTTAAATATATAAAATAAATATCAAAAATATAAGTCTTGTCCTAACTGGTTTGGCTCAGTGGATAGAGCGCCAGCCTGCGGACTCAAGGGTCCCAGGTTCGATTCCGGTCAAGGGCATGTACCTTGGTTGTGGGCACATCCCCAGTAGGGGGCGTGCAAGAGGCAGCTGATCGATGTTTCTAACTCTCTATCCCTCTCCCTTCCTCTCTGTAAAAAATCAATAAAATATATTTAAAAATATATATAAGTCTTTATTTTACTATGGTTGCAAATATCAAAAAAATTTCTATATGTGACATGGCACCAGAGTTAAGTTAGGGTTTTTCAAAATGCTGACACGCCAAGCTCAAAAGGTTCGCCATCACTGACATAGGGGAAAGTCCATAGGCTTTAAACCAAAGGTAGCTGACTGCGAATCCCGGATTTAATGCTTGGAGAGTTACTTAGCCTCTCTGAGCTTCAGTTTTCTCATCTGTAAGCTGGGAATAATACCTCCTTCCACGGTTGTTTGGAAGATCATTGATAACATGTATAAAGCATTTACATGGTATGTGGAATATAGCAGGTGTTCGATAAATGGTGTAAAAATTATTTGTATTAAATGGCAAAGGGCAATTACTGTGAAATCAAGAAAGCTGAGAATAACCTCCAGGCTAGGCTACCTCAGGATATACTCTTATCTAAAAGAAATGAAAAAAAAATAAAACTCAGACCACCTAAGCTACACTACAGGAAAAGATGCTAGAATTCCCTGCCAAGTCAGCAGGGTCTGTCCTAAGCACAGAGGATACATGCTGGATCATCCATGTCTGGTTCAGCTGTGTCAAAAAACGGGTGGGTGCTCAGGAGCTCTGGAACCAAGGGAAGCACCAGGGTTGGATGTCGACTTCCCAGAAACTTCAGGCATCTGAAATAAACAAAATGAGAGCCCACATTAGTAAGTTAATAAATGCTTTTCAAAGTACTAGGATTTCGAATCAGAAAGCCTGATTCAGAATTAAAAATTCTCAACCACCTAGTTTTGCTCCTTCTATGACTTCAGACAAGTCATTCAATTATTCTAAAACTCAGTTAATTTGTCTAAAAATTTGGTTATTATGAAGACAAAAGAGCTGATATAGCTGCTATTACTACTGGTTACTTAACAACCATTTCCCCCATCTTCCTTGCCAAGAGAACCCTGATTTTACTCAGGTATAAGGTAGATAGCAAAGTGCTCAGAGAAGGCAGGCCCAGCCCAAGGGCTCAACCACAATTGGTCTAATAAACCCATCATAGCAACCCCATCCATATTTTCCAGTGACTGGTTTGCAAGTAACCAACTAATCCAGTTCTGGTGAATGGAAGTCTGCTGGAGAGCTTCTTAGGTATCCTATATAATAAAAGCCCAATATGCTGTGTCCAACCCTCCGTTCGACCGCTTGACCAGTTGCTATGACATGCACTGACCACCAGGGGGCAGACGCTCCAACCGGCAGATTAGCTTGCTGCTGGGGTCCAGCTGATTGGGACTGGGCGAGACCAGCTGGACACACCCTGGAGCCCTCCCGCGGTCCCTCCCCAGCCCCAATCGTGCACCAGTGGGGTCCCTCAGCCTGGCCTGTGCCCTCTCACAATCCGGGACCCCTCAGAGGATGTCAGAGAGCCAGTTTCAGCCTGATCCCCAGAGTACAGGCCAAGGCACCCCACTGGTACATGAATCTGGGCACCAGGCCTCTGGTCTGTCATAAAGTAAGAAATCTGGCTATTAATTGGCTATCAGTTAACTATTATGACTACATTAAGGTCCTTTATAAACTATCAAGAACTACAAGTGTGGCCTAGTGGTTGAGTGTCAACTCATGAACCAAGAGGTTGCTGGTTCAATTCCCAGTCAGGGCACATGCCTGGGTTGCTGGCTCCCTCCCCAGTGTGGGACATGCAGGAGGCAGCTGATTGATGTTTCTATCTTTCTACCCCTCTCCCTTCTCTAAAAATCAGTAAGAACATATTAAAAAAAATTTTTTTAAAAAAAGAACTACATGTGTGCTAGGAATTATGCATTTTTATTATTTTTTATTTGTTAAGTTCTGGTTTAAAAGGTGTGATGAATTGAAAATAAATATACATCTTAATTTCTGTTCTCAATGAGTTTATGATCCAGCTGAGGCAAACATGACTAACACAAGGTAAAGAACTATCAAATGAATGATAGTCTGCTTTCTACCTGTCAAAGGTAGAAGAAATTACTATGATAAGAGAAAGTATCACAAAGAAGATGGATTTCACCAGGGACTGGAGAATAGGCAGACTGGCAAAAGAAAGAAAACAAACACCGTTAACAAATTCGTGAATATATGGGATACGAAAGGCATCACATTTAAAACACTTGACACTGTTAGTAAACTTTTCCCTAGTCCTGTTTTTCCTTCTATGTGGAAACAACTCACTTCACTAATTTTCTGACCTCTCTCAGGGCTTTTACTCGCTATGCCTTAAGGGGACTTTGTAAAGGTTGTAGTTTGGCTTCCAGGTGCCACTCTTTTATTTTATCTCTTTCTATTCAGATCCCAGGTGGAGAATACAAGAGTTATTAATTGGGTCCCCTCAGAGACCCTTAAGTATCTGGGCCTCTCTAGACTTCAAGTCTGACTTGTAATATGTTTTACTACCTCATCCACCTCCCTATCTACACATTTCTTTCTTCTCTCCCTACTTGCTATTTTGAAGGCTAGGTTTCTGAGATGAATCCAATTTTGTTTTTTTTGTTGTTGTTGTTAATCTTCACCCGAGGATATTTTTCCATTGATTTTTAGGGAGAGTGGGAGAGAGAGGGAAAGACAGAAACATCGATGTGAGAGAAACACATCAACTGGTTGCCTCCTGCACATGCCCGACCAGGAGCCAGGCTAGGGAGGAGCCTGCAACCAAGGTACATGCCTTTGACGGGAATTGAACCCGGGAACCTTCAGTCCGCAGGCTGACACTTTATCCCCTGAGCCAAACTGGCTAGGGCTGAGATGAATCCGTTTTTAAATCTCCACAGCACCTAACACAGTGACTGGGTTATAACATGTGTTCAATAAGCATTTTTTATGAATACCCTAAAGGTATATAAACACAACAAACATATAATTCAAAACTTTCATTTATGTACCCATCTTTAGCAGTGTCTTAAAAACATGCCACTGTGACTATCCCTTCACTCTTTTATCACATTCTTTTTTGATATTTTAAATAAACCACTGTAACCTTGACTTAACATTTCAGTTAAGAAATAAAGGCTGTGTATTTTACCTTTTCTCAAGGCTGCAGCCACCCCTCTGTTTTCTTGAAGTGTGTAAATAAAGCCCTGTGTTTTCATTCTTTATCTACCCTTTTTTACAGCTTAAAGAAGTTCCAGGGGAGAAAGGGCTGCTTGGCACCAGCCATGAAGATCCACAGGTGTCCACAGTAAATCTACAAATTCTTGTTTGAAGAAAGTTCCAAAATGAGGAGAGGAAGCTTGAGAAGTGACATATTCCCAGTCCCTCAGCCCTTCTCCCTTTCCAATGACCCCCCTTCTCAGAGCTGCGCTTCCCATTCCCCTCCCCGATCTCTTTGTTACATTTTCCATCTCCATCTTTACAAAAGCCTCTGCCTGCATTGAGATTATTAAGGTGGCTTTTTGAGGACTGGAAAAGTCCCCCATCTTCTCGAGATGCCGGCATTCAAATAAACATCTTTCCTTTTTCACCAGCACCTGTCTCAAGAGTTTGTCTTTCGTTGTGGCAGACAGAGGAACCTGGGTTTGCTTGCATCACCATTCATGAGGAAAGATGAAAAAAAATCAAGTGATAATTATGTCACTCCAAAATATTTTGGAGCACTTTAAGGTGAAGGAGTTTTCTGTCTACAAATATCAATAAAGACAGTCTTGCCATAAATATTCTGGGTGAACCAAATAACCACAAATCTTATTTTAAGGCAAGAAGAATAAACTGCTAAACACTATATAACAATCCCTTCCATCAAGCAGAATGAATTCCTTCTGTGTCCCCAAAAAAGTACAGATACTGACATAGGTATTTCTCCCTACCCCAACCCCACACACCAAATGATTGAGTGCTCCTTGAAGACAATCAATATATGTATATCGAATTGAGCTGAACTGGACTGAACAAACATGAAGAAACAGCAAAACAAATAACCAGATATCAAAAATATTACCTAGCTCTCACTGGTTTGGCTCAGTGGATAGTGTCAACCTTGCAGACTAAAGGGTCTTGGGTTCAATTATGGTCAAGGGCATGTATCTCGGTTGCAGGTTCAATCCCTGGCCCTGATCAGGGCACGTGCAGGAGACAACCAGTCGATGTGTCTCACATCAATGTTTGTCTATCTCTCTCCTACTGCTTTCCATTTTCTTTAAAAAATCAATGGAAAAATATCCTTGGGTGAGGATTTTAAAAAAAAGTGTTATCTAGAACAAGAACTCTCTGGTATTTTTTTTTAATATATATTTTTTATTGATTTCAGAGAGGAAAGGAGAAGGGAAGAGAGAGATAGAAACATCAATGATGAAAGAGAATCACTGATCAGCTGCCTCCTGCACACCCCCTACTGGGGACCGAGCCCCTACCCAGGCATGTGCCCTGACCAGGAATCAAACTGTGACCTCGTGGTTCATAGGTTGACACTCAACCACTGAGCCACACTCGCCAGGCTGGTTTTCCTTTTTTTTTTTTTTTTTTAAATATATTTTTACTGATTTCAGAGAGGAAGGAAGAGGGAGAGATAGAAACATCCATGATGAGAGAGAATCATGAATCAGCTGCCTCCTGCAAGTCCCCCACTGGGGACCAAGCCCACAACCCGGACATGTGCCCTTGACTGGAATCGAACCTGGGACCTTTCAGTTCACAGGACAACGCTCTATCCACTGAGCCAAACTGGCTAGGGCAGTATTTTCAATTTTTAATGTATCTTTTATTCTTGGAAGAATGAAACCATTCTCTCAAGTACCTGATTCGACCATTTTCTACTCTTAGTAATAAATTTTTCTGGAAATCAAGAAACTACACAGTTGGCACGATCTCATCACATAAGCTCATTTAAATATGTGGAGCACACACTTTTTTTTGTTGTTGGTAATCCTCACCCAAGGATATTTTTTCCATTGATTTTTAGAGAGAGTGGAAGGGAAGCACACTCATTTAATTTTTATATTAAATGTAAGCAAGTAGTTCTTCAAACAGCAATTCATGAACAGTGTTAACAGTTTGATTCTAGTCAATAAAGCTAGAGGTAATCAAGGGGAGAAATGACTGAGATTTTCAATCTGCAGACCAAGTGCCGGCCCTGCCTCTAATCTTTACAATGATAGTTGTGATCCTGTACAAAATCCAAACTGGACAAAGCAGTGATTAACACTACACAGGAGAAAAAGGAAATCTAATTAGCTCACCTCTGTACTTCCAACACTTATCACAGAGTTTGGCACATAGGAAGCACATAGCAGGCATATATTTGCTAGGTGGATGGATGGACAAATGAATAAATAATCTAAAATAAAATATTCCATTTAGGAATCAGACTCCCGAGAGTTTAGTTAAGTTGAATCAGGTTTGTAAATTTAAGGCAAAATGGATAGCCGTATCCTCAATCTATGATGATCCAATCTTATACAGTGGGGCCTTGACTTACGAGTGTCCTGACTAACGAGTTTTTTGAGATACCAGCTATCTCTCGGCCGATTTTTTGCATTGAGTTGATAGAGTAATTTGAGTTAACGAACTCCTTAATGATCTCCTTAACAAGTTCGGTCTCGGAATGAATTAAACTCGTAAGTTAAGGCCCCACTGTATAATAAAAGCTTAATATGCAAATTGTCCCCTTGACCAGGAGTTCAACCGGGAGTTTGACCAGGGGGCGAGGCTGGCTGGCCAACCACAGGAAGGGAGGCCCTGGCTGGTGGCGGCAGGCAGTTGGGGGAAGGGAGGCCCAGGCAGCCAGGGGAAGTGAGGTCCTGGCCGACAGCCACTAGGGACCCTATCCGTGCACAAATTTCATGCACGGGGCCTCTAGTGAATAATATCAAGACTGTA